TCCCATTTGCTGCCTTTAACAAACATGGCGGGAAATTTGAAACAGATAAGTGGCTCGAAATCTGCAACACCGAACTGGCAGCGGCTGTTCTTTATTACTTGTAAGGTCATCTCCCTAATCGTTGCGCCCAAGTTAAAAATAACTTTGACTATGATTGACAAACGAATAAACTTTAGTAAATTGTTTCTCAGTGAGTTCTCCTGTGAGGCATCTGAATTATTGACTCGGTTTCGTAACATGCTTAAGAAAACAGACATCTTGGAAGAGATTCTATGACCTCTATTGGGAAGGCCGTCTCGTTGGGTTTGGATTGATTCTCGTTAAAATGATGATAATGAGAACACGGGAGGATGACAACCACGACACAACCTTAACCAACAGGCATTGTAAATACAACCAGTTATAATCATCTGCAAAAAAGCTCCGAAATCCGCCTCGGGAACCAGCGCGTTTGTTTCGCGGATTCCCACTCGTCGCGCAGCCGAGGGAGATCAAACGGTTTAGATTTACGTATGAAATGGCGATCAGAGAGAGTCGTTCCCGCGGCACAGCCCGGAGCCGCGCCGGGCCCCGTCTCCGCTTTCACGCAATGCAATTATGATTAATTACGTCAGCGCGTAACCGTAGCAACCGCCGCACGTGCCGCGGCGCCGGCGGGAGCCTCGTCGGCGTCTGATCTCGGCCGCCCGTCCGTCCCTCGCGGGCGGAGGGGCGCGAAGGACGCCCCGCCGGTCGATACGCCGCGCCAGGGTCCACTCGCGGCCGCCGGGCGATCCCTCGGGCGCCGAGGCCGAGTGGCCGCGGGAGGAGGCGGGCGTCCGCGCGCCCGCCTGGCGGAACCGGGAGAAGCAGTCGCGTCTGTACGTGCTGGTAGATGCTTATACGTACATACTGTATATCATTATTGATATTGTTATCATTAATAGTTGTGGTAGTAGTAGGAGTGGTATCATTATTATTGTTATTGCTGTTTTGCTGCTATTGTTATTATTATTATTATTATTATCATTATTATTATCATTATTATTATAAATCATCATTAGAATTTTTATCATTATTATTATCATTATCATTGTTGTTGTTAGCATTATTGATATTATTATCATTACTATTATGATTATTACCATTATCATTGTTATACTTATTATCAGCATCATTATTATTGTTATTGTTATCATCATCATTATTTTCATTATCAGTATTAGCGTTGTTATTAGTATCATATTATCATCATTATCAATGTTATTGTTGTTATGTCATGTTTATTATTACCAACACCATCATTATCGCCATCATTATCCTCCCTTCATCATCCCTAGTAATCTTACAACCTCCACCGCCACTCGTGCCCCCCCCCCCCTGCCGGCTGGCACGCCTGCTTCCGGCGCCGCCAGCTGATCGGCCGCGTGGGGGGGGGGGGCGTCTCAGGAGCCAGCACCGGCCTCCTCCGCGAGCTCATTACTCCCTAAAAGAAGCGAAGAGCGCGCCATTAATTGCTTTTAATTATCCTTTTGATAGCGCAGTTAAGGCAGTGAAATAAATCGTAATTAGGCTCGTTTCCCTCCGCAGGAAAAGCAGGAGGCGTTCTTCGTGCGCCTGTACGACGCCCTGCGCCTCCTGAGGGAGTTCTTCCACGCCCACGGCCGCGGCCTCGACAACAGCACGCTCATGGGCGAGGAGTACTCCTTCCTCGAGAGGCAGCTGAGGGTGAGTTGAGGACGGACCCTGAGGAGGGCGAGGGAGGCGCTGCAGGGAGCGTCTGAGCAAACATTCGAGAGTCGATTTGAGAGGGAAGGAGGGCTCAGCAGATCAGGGATATTTATCTGTGGGAGAATGTTGAACTTGTGGTTTCTGTTCCCATTCCTCATTTTCAAAAACACTCACTCACGCACTCACTCAATCGCACACACTCTCTCTCTCTCACACACACACACACACATACACGCACGCACGCACACACACACATACATACATACACACAGCCCCTCCCCCCCCCCTTCCCTCCCCCGCCCCTGAGCCAACGGCCTGCTCTCTCCCGCAGCTCCACAAGACGCCGACGGACTCCCTGATCGAGGCCTACCACCTGGAGCGCCTCCTGGAGCAGGAGCGCACGGAGGCCACCGAGTACGGCTCGCTGTTCGTGCGCGTCTACTTCAACCACGACTCGCTGTGCGTGGAGGTGCTGCAGGCCAGGAACGTCATCCCGCTCGACCCCAACGGTGAGTCCAGAGTCATGAGTCGTGGCGGCCACGCCTCGCTCCTTCCTGCTCCAGGGGCTAGTGCCAGCCGCGGAAATAAATGCGTTGCTGCGTGGTCTGTTTATTTTGATGAAAAACACCTCCGCCATTATATCCCTGCCTCACCCCCTGCCGCCGCCCCAGGCTTCAGCGACCCCTTCGTGGTGATCGAGCTGCTCCCGAAGAGGCTGTTCCCGGGCTCGGGGCCGCAGCAGACCAACGTGCACAAGAAGACGCTGCATCCGCTGTTCGACGAGTGCTTCGAGTTGTGAGTGCAGGGGCGCGGGCCTGGCTGGGGTATGCGCGTATGACATGCACAGATGAATATATATTTTTTTTTTCTTACAGTCATTCTTTTCCTTTTTCATCTCTATCTATCTATCTATCTGTGTGTGTGTGTGTTTGTGTTTGTGTTGTGTGTGTGTTTGTGTGTGTGTGTTGTGATGTGTGTGTGTGTTGTGTTTGAGTGTGCGTGTGTGTGTGTGTTTGAGTGTGCGTGTGTGTGTTTGTGTTTGAGTGTGCGTGTGTGTGTGTGCATATACTGTATATTATATATATATATATATATATATATATATATATATATATATATATATACTATATATATATAATATATATATATATATATATATATATATATATATATATATATATATAATATGTGTGGTGTGTGTGTGTGTGTGTGTGTGTGTGTGTGTGTGTGTATAATATATATATGTGTATGTGTGTGTGTGTGTGTGTGTGTGTGTGTGGTGTGTGTGTGTGTGTGTTGTGTGTGTGTGTGTGGTGTGTATGTGTGTGCGTGTGTGTATGTGTGTGTGCGTGTGTGTGTGTGTGTTTCTCAGTCTCTACCGACCTATCTGTCTGTCCCAATCTCCGCCCTGAGGCACGCCGGTGACCCTGACCGCGTGCCCTCAGAGCCCTCCCGCGAGGTCGCTCCCGGACGCCACGAAGGCCCACTCTACCCCCTCCCCCCCCCTCCCCCAGCCCCGCCTCCTCGAGAGCTGCCAGGCGGAGGGCGCCATGATCCTCTTCACCCTCATGGACCATGACGTCATCACCTGCAACGACTTCGGCGGCGAGGCCTTCCTGTCGCTCAACACCATCCCGGGCGTGGCGTCCTCGGCCTCCGTCGACAACTTCCACGGCCTTAAACCCATCGAGCTCAACCTCATGTTCCAGAAGGACCCAGGTCAGTGTGCGTGTGGTGATATATATATATATATATATATATATATATATATATTATAATATATATATATATATATATATATATATATATATTCGTGTGTGTGTGTGTGTGTGTGTGTGTGTGTGTGTGTGTGTGTGTGTGTGTGTGTGTGTGTGTGTGGGTGTGTGTGTGTGTGTGAGTTTTATGTGTGTATGTTTGGTATATGTATATGTATGTATATATATGTATATATATATATATATATATATATATAATATATATTATATATATATATGTGTGTGTGTGTGTGTGTGTGTGTGTGTGTGTGTGTGTGTGTGTGTGTGTGTATATATATGTATATATATATATATATATATATATATATATATATATATATATATATAGTGTGTGTGTGTGACTAGATATATATATTTCTTTTCTTAGCCGTTGATGCTTCCTCCTCCCTCGTCACTTCCCTTTTCTTTCCAGAGAACATAATCCTGAAGGTCCTGGAGACCAGGACGAACGACAAGATGGCGATGGACTTCGTCAAGAAGCAGAAGGAGCGGATCGCCAAACCGACTTAGAGCTCCTCGCACGCAGTCGCGCCGTCGTCTCAAACGCATAAATGGCGAAAGGGGGATCACTTCTCAACCTTCTAGAGGCGGATCAATAAGCCCCGACATAAAACACCCTTAGAGCTCAACACGCGGTTTTGCAGCGGCATTTCCCCTGTGGATCTCGCTCCGTGTCAGTCCAGCGAGTCCCTTGGCGCCGGGAGGACTTCCTGCCCCCCCCCCCCCCCTGCCCGCCACGAAGCCAGAGTCAAAGTCTCTGGGTTCCTTGATTTCAGTGGTGGGTCTGAAGGACACTGGGGCGTCAGCCGTATTTACACCTCGAGGAGAAATTTTAAGATTTCCGACGCTGATATCGCCGATTTTTTCAAGGGACTTGTTCTGCTAATCCACAAGACTTTCGCGGCTGCCTCAAGACCTGTCGTGGCGTCTGCTATCTGTTGCTCCGTCTGGACGCCCTTCGCCGGCCGCCCATTGGCCAACCAGCGCACTCGACACTGAACACCGTTTGCTGTGTTTTAACCACGTTTCAGTGATACAACATCGACCTGTCGCACGCATTCAACAGAAATAACGCTCTCTTTTTACCTATACATTTCGCACTCCTCGCTAGATAAAAACCCTCCATTTCGGCCATAATACAGAATTATAGTAAGTTAAGGCAACATGAATGAAATATATTCATTTCCTTTTCATTCGCCGCTCCCTTCGCACGAGGACGACCTCGGCGAAGCCCCTTCCCACACAGCTGCCGCAGGGCGCTCGCGGGACAGGGCCGCCGTCTGGCCGCGGCCGACGCCCCCGCCCGCGGCCCCTGCGAGGCGGAGGAGGAATCACGTCTCAGAGTTGAGTTAATGACAGATTTACGCCCTTTTATTACCCTAGCATAAGTGTGTGAGCAATGACGACAAGATGTATTTGGAATGCCTGAGGACAATACCTGGCCGATCGTATGAATGCCCCTTATATGTAATATACTATATGCATAATGCATATCTATCTATTCATACATTTTAT